CTGCTCGCACACTTGTCACAAATTGTGCAAATTTATTTTACGCGCTAAATGCAAAACGTGCCCGGCCAGCTAAATGGCTAAAAATTACAGCTCAAAGAGAGAGCGAGAGATTTTCTTTTGCTTGGCAGGGCCTTCCTTCTTCCACTGTCAATAGAAGAGGCTGGGCGATGCTTAGCCCCTGCTTCTGGGACTTACTTCCCCGAAGTACTCCGGACGGCCACCCACCAAACTCAAACTTAACATTTGCTGCGGCTTTTAATTTGAAAAAACCTCAACCCGTTTGGTGGGGAAATGTCTTTGGCTGTCTAACAATGCGTGAAGTTTGTCGCCGCTTTTGATGGATTACAAACCGTAGCGGAGTTTGAAACTTTTGACTCTGGTTGGCGTTGGGGGCTTCTAACACTTTTGCCTTTTGTGCATTGTGTGTAATTATTAATGTATGGGCCAGGCTTTTCACATACAATTTTTTGTTTGCCAAGCATTATGCAATTTATTTCAGGTCTAGCGCTTGACAAGTTTTCTGTTCATTTTATGGCACGATGGGCAAGCCTTTTTTGATTAATTACCCAAATGGCAAAAGGAGGGAGGAATGCAAAGTGGTTCGAAGGGTCTTTGAAATATTAATTGCAAAAGATTGAGAGTGCGATTTAGAGTACACCACACAGAGTATTAAAAGAATTAAATTAAACTGTCAATTAAGATGCAGATGCTGAGATCAAGAATGTTGCGAAAGGGTTTGTTTTGTTTAAAAAAAAGTTATCGCAAGTTAGCGTTATGAGCTAAAATGTAGGTGTACGAGTATGCAGAAAATAAGCAAGACGCCATTTTAAAGAAATGTGTTGGAACAGAATAACCTTTTAGCCAGAAGAACAATTAATTAAATATTTAAAAATTTTGATTTTATATTTATTTACGTTTTTTTAATGTTTTATGATAAAAATAAAAAAGAACGTGTGAGAGGCTTCTTACGCGTCACAACTTTTATACCCGGCACTCAGTACTACATCTGCACCTTAGCGGTGTTTTGTCAAATTTTACATTTTTTCTTCCTCTGTCATCTATGTACATCTACAACACTTCTCACACCAACACGCTCCTTTAGCTTGCCGGGCTTCCCTATACCCCCACACACTGCAGACTCGCGGCAGAGGCAGAGGCAGAGGCCGAAGCAATTTGGTGATCTGATAGACATAGTCATTCCCTACGAAATGGCGAAATCGCAACAGAGCGAAAACCTCGCAAACCTACAATTTACAAGTTTAAAAGAAGACTGAAAATGCCATTCCGTAGGGAATGATTACATCTATCAGATCACCAAATTGAGATCCGATTGGGCCATTATTATGGCTAAACCCACCCCGTTCCGCAGCTTATATTTGTTTTTTTGCACATTTTCTTATTCACACTCTGCTTCTGCATTGTGCGGTTCTAGGGAGCGTGTTGGCGTGAGAAGCTATGTAGATGTAGATGTTGATGAAAAATGTAAAATGTAAAATTTGAAAAAACCCGTTAAGGTACAGATGCGTAAGAAGCGTCTCACACGTCCCTTCTCGTTTTTCTTTTATTTCTGTTACTATTATTTGAATTATATTCCCCACGATTTTTGGTTAGAGAACTAAAGCCCCTTTGCCATGTGCCACCCTTTAGCTCCTTTACATGCTCCCGACATAGACACACACACACACACACACACATGTGGAAAATCCTGTTTTTCCTTTAACAGAGCTTACAGGGGCTTATCTCACTTTGGTTCCCTCCACACCCCTTTATTTTTTCGGTTGTGACTCCTCCACGCTGCGGTTGTTTCTGCTTTAGTTTTTATATTAAAATCGCTGGCAGACTGGACGAGTGGACCAGTGGCTATTAAAAGGACGATGCTGATGTCTGCAGCGGTCGTGGAGAGCAACGCCACAGACAGTGGGAATACCTTTTAAGTAAATCCCAGTAGGAAATTAAAAACCAAAATGAAGTTGCAGGGCAGGGCGAACACATAGCGACAGTGACCAACCAAAATATATCGTCATATTTATAAAAGCGCAGCCCAGCAGAAGCATCAGAAGCACCAGCAATGCAGAGACAGTCGTCCCGTAGGGTCGTCAAAAACACCTTATTACCGATAAAAAAAAAAGAGAGAGGCAGAGGAACGGAGATGAGCGTCGGGACAAAGCCAACAGGACCCCAACTGACAACTGAGTGACGCAGCCGCGGGTGTCACAGGACCTGAGCGGTCCTCTGTTTCGTTTTGTTTTGCTTCCCTAGTCGGGCAGCGTCACAAAAGCAGACAATTAAAATGGATCTGGCGGCAAAAGTCGCGAAAGTCGCTGCCAGGACATGCCACAAGCGTCCTGTCGCCTGGCCCCGGCCTTTGTGTGTGTGCTGGCGATTAATGAGTCTTTAGCGTTTCCAGTCGCATGGAGTTATGATGATTACTTTGACTGTGTCACGCCCCCGAGCCCCGATCTGTCACTGCTTTTTCCCACACCACACTAACCAGCCATCTGTCTGTCTATGTGTAGTCCAGTCTGCGTAAATAATACGTGTACATACGCAAGTAAATAAAAGCAGAGGGAATCGGAATGTATTTTGTCCAGGAAGAATATAATATAACATTTGTAGACATGAAAAGTTTTTAAAAATATTTTAAAGGTACGAATCATATAAAAATCATATCAATGCAATTTCCCTTTTGTCCAGCTATATTTTTAAGTCGTGAATAATATATTTTTATATAAATACAAAAAAATATTCCACATTTTTCTGTCTCCCTTGGTTTCCATAAACTTTCGCAGGCTGTCATAATTTTATCCGCACCCACACCTGATTTTCTTTTGCGACTGCTAATCATAAAAAATATTAAGCTCTGATTTTGACGCGACATTTTTAACGTTCGAGCGTGCTAATGAGTTTTTACCGAGTTCTGTCTGGGCTGAAGTCCGAGTCCCGAGTCCTTTTCCTTGTTAATTAGTTCTTCCGCTTAAAAAGTGTTTAATGCTCACGTGCTAATATGTATTCTTTCCCCCGACTTTTTTTTATTTCGGCGACACAGTGGAATGTGTCCCTTGACATGCGATTAATAAATAAATGCCTCGAACCTTGCGTGCCGTAGCCGGGGACTCAGGGTCTCTGCGTCTGGGTCCGGGTTCAAGTCCTTAAATGCCTTTTGTTTGTAATTTGTTTATGGGTTCATTTCCCGGCGGTCAATTGCTTGACGCTCGTCTGTGATTTTTTCTGTTCTTCCTCCTGCCTGTGGCGGAGGCCTTTTGTTAGGAACTCTTTTTTTCTCTACTTGTGGAAACACCTTTTCAATTAGCTTGGCCACACTTAAAATCCATTTCAGGCGTTAATTTTTGATAGAACAAAACGCATTTATGCTCGACTTCCCTGGCAAGTGACACTTGGCACCCAGCAAACACCTCGATTGCCCCGCACTCTGACTGCGGAAGGGCTCCATCTACAGCCTCTTAATTGGTCGCACAGACGTGCCCACATTCAAATAAAAATGTCGATTCTTTCATTGGGAAAAGTGTCTCGCATTATAATAAAATGAAAATACCTAATAATGTTAATTTCCAGTAAAGTGCTACAAATTGATTTCATGCATTAAAAAAAAAGGCAAACCAACAAAGGAGAAGAAGTTAAAAAAGTAGAGCCCCAAATTGAGTTGTATAAAAAAAAGCAGAGAGACAATTTTAGAGTCCGTGAGGATCCGAAGGAATGGTTTACATGACTTAAATGTATTTTACATTTAAATAAATATATTTAATATGTAAAATAAATACTTTTCAAATTAAATTTAAAATAGTTGCCACAAATTGAATTATTTAAAGCCCAAGATTAAGACTTAAGTCAATCCCAATTGAAGATCAAAAAACCCTCAGTTCAGCTTAATTTAATTAACTATTTTAATGAAAATTTTGGCTGTTAATTGTTTTCTCTGCCTTCCATTCTTCTCATTAATTTCCCTTGAAAAGCCCACAAATTCACACACCTCTGAGTCATTTCTGACTCATTTTAATTTCCCAAGCAATTCATTGGGATCCAACAAGTTCAGAATATATGTAACATGGCCACAAAACACAAACAACAAAAAAAGAACACAACAAAAAAAATAACGAAAAGATAACCGAAAATGACAAACATATCTGTGGATGTATCTCTTTATGTTATGTATCTGTGTATCTGTTGGCTTTATCTGCTGCACGTCTCATTGTCATTAACCCCTGTGCATTCCATGCATTTCTCTCAATCTCAATCTTTTGCGCCTGTGTCATCTAATTGACATTTGTTAATAGTTTTTTCTTTCTATTTCTCCCCGTCTGCCGATCATAAAAGGCGTTTGTTCATGAAAATTGTCTGTAATTTTGTTTTTATTGCTTGCCCAGGTTTTTTTTTTTCTTTTCTATGTCTGTGTCCCGTTTCTTGTTGACTAATCATTTTCGGTTCATCGTTTTGTTATTGTTCCGATTCTTATCTACATTCCCAAACAACAAAAAAAAGGGAAAAGAAAACCAACCCGTCGACAATCGATCAGTGGCTGGAGAGCAAATGTCCAGTATAATTGGTTACAATTTCAGAAATGTAAATGCAAATGCCATAATTGGAGATTTTCAAATCTCTTTTGGTCAATCTCATCCATCATTAATCACTCCAGCTTGGTCCTGCTCAAAAAACACACTTAATGAGAGATACAGAGAGGGAGAGCAAGGGATCAACTAGCAAACAGTAGCGAAACATAAATTAACAGATATGAAAAAACTAATTTATATAAATTCCACACAGAAAATTGTGTCTTGAGTTCAGTAATTTCAGTTTTTGTGTCTCCAGATCTACTTAATAATGGCATTCAAATTACCCTCGAACCCGCTTCCAACAAGGAGAATTAGTGCTTAACAAATTAATTTACAAGTAACAACTTATGGCTAATTGCTGTTAAAATATTATTAAATTTAACTGTAGACCTCCTTAATGGGAAATCGTTCGAATAAACGTATTTTAATATATTAAAAGGAATCATCACTCAAATATTCAATATCAAGGGAAGCATCGTATGCCGTATAGGGACGCTCGCATATAATATTATTACTTTTCTGGATGAGCAATAAATTATTGTTCGGATCCGTGGCTGTAGTTTGTACTGCATCTCCGAACGACATAAAACGAACAGTCAGAACCAGTGGATCATCCGGCTGAACGTCATGCTGCTTTAGAATCTTTAAGAGTGGAGCCACAACATTCTTGTTGACTCTCCTACAGCCAGAGACATCGAGCGATCGGAGGTTCTTGCAGCCACGGAGCATGCGTAGGATTCCGGAGTTGGTTACGTTATTGGATGACTGGAGGATCACCATCTGCAGTTGATCCAACTTGATGAATTGCAAATATGTATTATTCATATCGGAGCAGATCAGACTTTTTAGTGATTTTAGTTGTCCGATGGTCTTGGCATTATCCGCATGGACTGGGGTTATCTCATCGCTGTTCAAGCGCAGCACCTGCAAGCTCTTGGCATAGTCCGAAATCGATCTGCCAAATAGCTCGCTTAATTCCATATCGGGGCTGAATGTAACGTGCAGTGTTTCCAGACTCGGCAAGTACGGCATTTCGGTTCGAAAATCTTCGATACCGATGCTCAGAAGCTTCAGCTTGGGCCACAGCGGCTCCCATTTTCCTAGGGGAATATCTATGGAAGCAAACTCCATTTCCAATGATTCAAGCTGCGACATTGAGGAGCACAGTTCGTACATGTTCACCGTGTGGTCGCTCCTGATGAATAAATTCTGGAGTTGCTGCAAATGTTTGATTTGCATTACTGAAATATATAAACAGTAAATATTTATAACCATTTTGCACGTTTAATATTACCACTTACTATCCTTGCGGTTAAAGCGAACTAATTTCAGGGTCTTCAGCTTGGGAAGTTCCAGCAATGTGTTCATCAAATCAATCGGGCTGTAGTTATTCGTCAGTCTTAAATCCTCCACCTTCTTTAGTCGTTTCAGATATGGCTTAACTTGATTCCAATACTCGTCCCGAATGGCAATAAATAGCTCTTGCAGGTTGGGGCAATATTTGGCTGCCAGAATCACCCCAGCCATTGAATTCTTTACCTTGTAAGACATAACGCCCAGAATAGTCGAACCGCAAGCAGAGAATATGAACTTCCAGTCCGTAAAGGGCAAACTCTCCAAATCTAGTAGCTCGTAATGGTTGCCGGCGTCAATTTTAAAAGCCTCGCGAAGTACTGGATGAGTCTGTGCAAGACTTAGTTTATCATTCGTTTCCACAAGGAATTTATATATTTTGCTCAGCTGCTGCGGTGGCAGGTTCACAATACTCGACTGGTTGCGGGTGTCCATTTTGCAGCATCAAAATAAAATAAACTTTGTGCGGACACTTATGATAATATGGGTATTCACATATATGCAATACAAAGCGCTATTGTTTAATCGAAAAGTGTTTGTTGTTTCGCTATCTTGACCACGGAAATATTCTTGCAGCTATCGATTGTTCCCATCACCAATCATCGGTCTGAACTTTTCTTTATTTCTGTACATTTGAGCACGTGGCGCGTGGCATCTACTGACTGCACTAAAATGGATGCCTCGCCGAGATTCAATGCTTCAATGATTTGCCATTGAATTTTGTTAATGATATTCAAGAAACAATTCAAACAATTTCACGAAAGAGCATCCGCTGTCCAAGCCGCACTGCCAGATCAGAGTGTTAGGCCACTAACTGATATTTTTCCATATTTCACAACATCTGTGCTCTGTCCTTTTCTCAACCACTCTCAGCTTTGTGCCACGATTGTTTTGTCCCTTGTACAGCACCGTTCTCCCCCACCGTTCTCTCTATTGTTGAGCATGCAGACGATTCAGACCTCGACGTTGTCGAAATATCTCGAAACACTGGAACGAGTATCGAGAAATATACCCAAATGCTGCATAAACTACTAAATTTGTATGGACTAAAACTACACGCTAAGGGAAAGGCTAAAGGTGAGCCAAGTCTCTTATAGATAAATACAAAAATACCTCGCTCACATGTGCTTGAATTTATTTTTAGGTGTGTTTCCAAAAATGAAAAAAGAAATTGACATTTATAAAATATGTTTGCACCTTCGGCGCCTATGGATAACGTAGTTAACACAACATCACCGCCGAAACCTTATCATTTATCCAATTAACATTCATATTTTTAGTATGCAAACAAATATTCTACATAATCTAAGATTTGATACCGAAAGTTAGCCAGTGAAAAGTAAAAATGTTTGTTCTTTAATTGTGTCAATTTCTCACAAATGTTTTTGCTGGAACCCACATAAAGCAATTAACCCAAAGTTCTCCCCCATCGTATGAGAGGAAATCCCAGCCAGCTCATTGCTCATCGTAGACGGCGGCAATCAAATCAGCCAAAAACTTGTTTTCGCCTCCTTTGACTGACACCAAGGCAAATTAATGACCATCCCTCCCTCCCACACACACACACACACACACACACTGTAAACCTCCCGCCCAGAGATGCAATTGACTTTCAGGTGGCCCCTCGATTTGAAATATGTAAAGCACATAAATTATGTGACAGGCAAGTCGTCTGGGCGACAAACTGTGAATGAATCAAAGGATAATCCAATTTATTTCACATTACCAGTATGTGCTGCTGCTGCTGCATCTACGACTCCAACCAGCTCATTGTGCAAAGACAGAGATACAAAGTGTTGGCTTGGACCAACTTCAAAGGTGTCACATAAATGCACTTTCAGGCAATCAATACGTTTTTGTCTCTAATGCAATTTACTGCCTATAATGGGCAGGCGACACTCAAAGATTGAAAGGAGTTGAGAGAGATAATGAGATGATATGTTGGTTTAAATTTGTAAGGTTCTCTTTTGGGAAGTCTAATAATTGCACGAATATCTAATCATTTTTAAGCAGTCTTAGCTGACCTTAACCTTAGACTTAAGTTCATCTGGCCAACAGAAAATCATTGAAGCAGCAGCGCAAACAGACCAGACTGTGGTCTACTCTGCGGAGTATCGTTTGTCTTAGAGCATCTTTTGTATACGTTTACGTTTGAGAAGGAATATTTTCCGCTCAACTAACTTTACTGAATGGGAATCGGGCAAGCAGTATCTGTTGCGAAAATCCATACACATGTCAGTCACACTTAACCCTGCGGGTCTCAAGAAGCAGCGGCATCAACGTCAGCGGGAGACAGCAGGACCTGGACCTGATTTGCTGTGGCTTTGCCTTGCGGCTGAATTATTATGTTGGAGTCAGCCAAATGTTACTCTTTCCGCTTTGTCTTCAGTTTTTTTATAATTTTGCTGTAGATATATTGTTTTCTCCTGCACTGTTCCCGCAACGTTTATTATGATATTGCGGAAATGTTTTGAGGCAAAACGGAAATTTATGCACATCGCATATGTCAACAGCTCCCTGGACCAATTGAAAAAAAAGTAACGAACACGAAAACGAGAAGCGAAGCGAAATTTGCATATTTGCATTTCAATTTTCTGCAATTTTGGGGTGAGGGACTTTTTTTTGGTGTTCCTTTCGGATTTAATTGTCAATAAAAATGAACCAAGCGGAAAATTTGTTGGCCAAACAAAATGAAATTGAAATTTTTGTGAATGCGTCTGAGGAAAGTCTGGGAAAAAAAGTTCTTATGGTTTTTGTTCCCCCAGACATGGGAATCTCAGAACCACACATAGTTCCATTCTCAAGAGAGAGAGTGGAGGAGGAGAGGTGAGTGTTGTGTCTGAACTGGCTGAGATGTTCTTGTAATTTCGTAATTTACATTGCAGGTTTTGAATTTACACTTGCTGGCAATTAATAATTCCGCATTAGGGCTATCCATAAAGCAGACACCACACTCGCTCCCATCCCCCGACATTAAGCTGGATAATTAAGTTTACCGTTCATTGGCCTTGCCGGGCACAGCCCCGGCACATGCTCAATCGGCTCCCCTTGCATCGGATTGTATGACAGATTACAAGAGAGCAGAGCAGGCGGGGGCACGTTCTAACTGTTGTTGGAAATGGACACAACACAATCATTTGCTCGCCCCCCCTCCCCCACGCGGACATGTTGGCGCATATCAACCGGCTGGCGAATGGCAAACAGAATCCTACGATTTTGAGTGCATTTTCAAATCAACAAAATATTCTGTCTCTGTTGCGGCACTAGACATGTGTCTGCATTAATCAAGATCTGCCCGCTTTCCACCAGGCAAAAGAGCCTTCGAACTAAACGACCAACAATTGTTTACAGTTGCTTAATAATACGATACGCACTTCGAGTGTACAAATAAAAGACAACATATTTTGATAGAAGAAGGACTGTACTCACTTGGTTAGATGAAATGAGATCAAATATTATTTAAGCGCGCGATTTTCTCCCGTTTACAGTTTTCATGTACCGATTCCAAAAAGAGCGCAAAAATTCGGCATATTTTAAAATAGGGTAAGGCATTCCAGGAAAAAACTCTCCCGATGCTCGCATATTTTGCAACGTTTGTCTGCACAAAGTAAAGGAGAGAGCGCATTCATCTCCAAATTAGGAGCGCATCACCTTATGTCATTGCGGTTCTTTCGAGGAGAGAGAGGCTGGTTCTTTACGTGTTGCTACTCTTTCTCTATGAGCGTATTCTATGATGGAGTGGGAAAGGGATGGAGCATCGCGCATCTTTTGTCATATGCGCATACACAGACAACGCAAGACATCACGTGATCAAGCGAAAAAAATGAAACATCTCACAATCCACATACATATGAATATGTGTGCGTGTATGTAAAATGTGAAAAACACATCTTAAACTGTAATAGCAAATATTTCCGCACATTTTAAGCAGAAATCTTCCTGTTTTATGTATTTTTGTCTATGGCACTGCCCTCGCAATAGAACAAGTTCTTTTGTCTCAAGTTTTGGGGCACTTTCATTATTTTTTCCACAATTTTGGGGCGTTTTCAATGTCTAATCAATGTACTACTATCAATGTACTTTTCCGGTTGGCTTTTCACTTTTTTCCCGATTTTAGCGAACTGAAAAGCGGAGCAGACTTGGGAACGCACGCTTTGACCGGACGAAAAAAATAACTGTGTGGAGAGAGCGGGCTTCTTCTCCCTCTCCAAATACCCACCAGCTCAACACAACTTTGACCCTCTCCCACACAGCCGATGTACAGTGAAGTCTCAAAAAAAACCCCACTTTTAGTTTCTATACAAATCCATATGTAGTTCCACAGAAAAATTCAAATACACATATCTATGCAAAGCCATGTTTTACTGTACTAACAAGCGGTCAGTCAATACAATTACACCCGCTCTCTTGCAGTAGGAGAGGAAGAAGCATCAATATGTGTGCCAAAATTGAGCAACTTCTAGAAGAAGAGCATGGAGTGAGAGAAGCCGTTAGCCTCCCACGCATGCTTATAAACATTTCTATGTATGTAGATTACTGCACCTCTCTTTTCAATTTGGCAGCCGGCGAAAACGCGTGTTTCTAGGGTCAGCTCCGGGTATCGGGTCGCGAAAATCGGGAAAATTATGGAAATCTAACCGGAAAAATGTCGCGAATAATGTATTGAGTAGTGGTGTGTTGATGTAACTTGGAAAAAGTTTAAAAATTGTGGTTTAATAAGTGTTAATAGGTGTTCAATTGCGGAGGCGTCCCAGCAGGCAAATGGCGGCGAAGCAGAAGAATAAATTATGCAGAAATTTGTGAAAGTGCAGTGAAAAAGTGAGTGAAAAGTGAGTGCAGTGTTAGAGTGAGTTACTTGAAAAAACATTTAAATGTCCCGCATGACTAAAGAAAGAGCGGTGTTAAGTGAAAGTGTTAGTGTCGATGGTCATTATGACGGCTAGTAGGGCTGGGCGGTTGCGGCCAAAGTGTGTGAAGTGATCATAGCATTAGAGTGAGTTACTTGAAAAAAACAGTTAAATGTCCCGCATGACTAAAGAAAGAGCGGAAATAAATAATCACACTCAGTGCTAAGTGAAAGTGTTAGTGTCGATGGTCATAATGATGGCAAGGAGAGCCAGGCGGTTGCGGCCAAAGTGAGTGAAAAGTGAGTGCAGTGCGAATGGCGTATAAGAAGCAGGTTGCAGAATAAAATGAGCGGAAATATGTGAAGTGCAGTGATAAGTGTAGTGTCGATGGTCATAATGATGGCAAGGAGAGCCAGGCGGTTGCGGCCAAAGTGAGTGAAAAGTGAGTGCAGTGTGAATGGCGTATAAGAAGCAGGTTGCAGAATAAAATGAGCGGAAATATGTGAAGTGCAGTGTACATACATATGAAGACGTTAATTTATGCACTAAATTTTTTTTTCAAGTTCAAAATGTGCATTTTTGTTTGATCATATAATGTCTTGCAAATATCCAAAAAAAAATGTGATGTATAGTGTTTTTTCCTTTCCCACTCCGGCATGTAATTGTCGCAGAAGAAGAGCATGAGCGAGCGCCTCTCTTTCCAAGTGTAAAAAGAATAAGGTGGTGATTTCCAAATCTGAAGTTGTGATCTTTCTCTCTCGTGCACCTTGTGCACGCGAAATAAGCAAAGTATGCGTGTTTTGAGAGAGTTGTGTTCTCCAATGTCCCACCTTAAATTGAAATATACCACATTTGTGCTCTTATTGGAGTCGCATAGTCGAAATTTACAAATGAGAGTATGTGTGTGCGTTCATGTGCGTAGAAAGCGGCGAAATGGGAGAACATCGCGTGTGCAATATGTATAATGTATAATAAGTGCAGTGTGTAATAAATCAATTTTTTTTTGCGAGTGCTAACAAAGTCTCCCAGTCCCGTTCCGACTCGTCAAATGCGTAATCCGAAATCCGTAATCCAATTCTAATTCGTAACCCTCGTAATCGTAAACTAACACATACGTGTGTATGTAAAAGAACAGTAAATGCCACAAGAAATCGGCAAAAGATGATGACCAAAAGGTAAGAGGAAAATAAGATGGTTTCTCTTTTGCTTTACTCTTTATTCTGTTTTATTTTTTCTGCATATAAAGGGAGTGCTCTTAGGGTAGATTTGCACTTTTACAGCCAAAGAGAATGTTATTATTAAGAGAAACTTTCGCAGCCTTTTGCTTTCATTTCCATTAACCAGAAACTCTTTAA